TTTCCTGCCAATCCCTCTCATCAGGCAGGTCACGGTTTGGATCAGATGGGACAAGGCTTGAGTGATATCATGTTCACTCCGACGTGGCCTTGTCAACCCTGGTTCAGCATGCTCACGAACATGGTGCTGTACCCCCCATGGCCCTTCCCTGCCATCCAGACGTGGTCACAGGACCATGGTTGGCTCAGGCATCCCAACCTTGCATCCCTGCATCTGTCAGCGTGGATCCTCCATAGATGAACTCAGTGGAATATACTTGCATGGAGGAAGTCCAGCAGGTTCTGCTGTGAAGTAGAAAGCCATCCAGGAGACTGATCTACCAGGAAAAGTGGACAAGGTTGTCCCACTGGATGTCAGAGCAGGGTATCTGTCCTGAGCACACTCCAGTGCTGTCCATTCTAGACTACCTGCTTCAGCTCAGAAACTGGGAGCTGGCACATTCTTCCGTCAGAGTGTATCTTGTGGTGATCTCCCCTTTTCATGTTCTGATTCAGGGGCAGACATTGTTCTTCCAAGACAGGGGTGAGATTCCTGCAGGTGTGAGATCCTCTTCCATACTGGAACCTCAATCTGGTCCTCTCCTTGTTCAGTAGGCCACCTTTTGTACCACACTGATCCTGCTCCCTTTCCTACCTGTCCTGGAAAGCAGCATCCCTTGTGGTATCAGCAAGGCATGTCTTAGATTTCAGAGCCCCCATACTCTGTCTTCTACAAAGTCAAGGTCCAGCTGCAGCTCCACCCCACCTTCCTGCAACAGGTTGTTTCTTCCTTCCACATGAACCAAAACATATCCCTGCCTATGTTCTATCCCAACTCTCACAACATGGTAGAAGAGAGACGTCTACACGTTCTTGACATCCAAAGAGCCTTGGATTTACCTGGAATGTACCAAACCATTCTGTATGTCAATACAGTTCTTTGTCGCTATGGCCAATAGAATGAAAGGCCAGCTAGTCTCCACAGAATGCCTTTCCAGCTTGATCACCTCATGCATACGAACCTGCTACAAGTTCACAAAGATAGTCTGGGCCCTCTCAACCAGAACTCAGGCATCTTCAATGGCCTTCCTAGTGCACATGCCAACCCAGGACATCTGAGGAACCATGACATAATCCTCAGTTACATGTTTACATCTCACAGAGTCCTCACTCAGCAAATGAGGTTTTGGGAAAGTTGTGCTGCAACATACCCACAAACTCCCTCTCCTCCTTCCCTGGGCACTCCTTGAAGTCATCTAACGTGGAATGGACATGGGCAACTACTCCAAGAAGAAGAGACAGTTGCTTGTTCCGTAACTGGCGTTTTTCAAGATGAATTGCTCCTGTCCATTCCATGACATGCTCTCCTTTCCCACTATCAGAATGAAGAGACAATAGAGGAAAGACCCTAGAAGAATTAGAAGAGCACTATTCTTTCATCATGGGCTTTGGTCAATTTTTATAGATCATATATATAAAATAAAAAATTCATTTTTTGCAGACTCCTGCCTTCTACTCAGAATTGGGATACAGGCTGCTAAGAGTGTGTGAACCTCAAATATGGATTACTACAGGCTGAACTTCTCTTGCTTTGCACTCTCTCTGGTCCAGCAATTTCCATGATCTGGCATGATTTTAGTTAGCTGGATGTCCACTTATCATGGATGTGGCCAACTTTTCCACAGTCCCGTAAAGTTTGTTGATAGCATCCACAGCAGTCCTGGCCATCTGTGTTCCATGCTGTTATTTAACTCTAATTTACTCCTAAATGTCTTCTAAGAGCCCAGTAAGCATGTTGGTAATGCAGCTAGACAATATTGACCTCCCATGGTTCAGCAAATTCTCTGGTTCGGCACTGCTCAGGTCCAAAGAGTGCTAGACTAGAGAGGTTCAACCTGTAACAGATTAACCTTGTATTGCTCAGGTCCTTATCTCAAGGTTATTTTTAATAAAAGGAAAATGTACATGCTTTATTTAAATTATTGTTTTTCAATAATACAGTGTTATTTTTATGAAGTTAATTTTATTTTGGATTTCTTAAAAAAGGATTGTTAAATTTTTTCCATTTAGTTTTTTTCAATGGGAGTTCTATCACATGCATTTTTTCTTCATCCCTATAAACTCTTTATCATTTGCTATGTTTTAACAAAACAGGGCTATAGTCAGTTTGCTTTCCAATAACATTTTTCTTGTACTTTTCAAAACTTAAGCATTGATTTAGCTTTGCCAAAACAGAGCACTACTCCAAATTTCTGGGTTTTTTTCACTGTAGCGTTTGTTGAGAAGAAATCCTATTCCATGTTCATCCTGTTTTTCTGGCTCATCTTTGTTCAGACTCTTCCATCATTTACTCAGTTATGTCTGTTTTGGGGACTCCTTAATTTAGTGATTTTATTTCTCTTTTTGGTTTTATGAGAAGCAATCCCATTCCAGGCACATCCTATTTTCCTGGCACAACTAACCCTTTACATTGCATTAAGTTATGATAAGAGGAAGCTGTATATCAAATTTGGTGGTCCTAGCTCTTCTTGTTCAGGAGGAGTTCTTGATCAAACAGGCAGAAAAACTCTATAAAATATATAGTAGGTAGTACTCATTCAAAGTGAACCTTATAAAGGAGGTCCCCGCTTTACAACAGCCCAATTTATGACTCCCCAGACTTACGACATTTTCTGTAAGTGCAGAAGGGGCCAAAATCCCCCGATTTACATCTTCGGCCCCGTATTTACGATGGCGTACGACACCTGTTGTAAATGCGGGCTTGAGTTACAATGCCCCTGACTTGCAACACTATCCCCGGAGCCAATCACAGCCTGTATCTCAGATTCAAATATGTAGTTGGAATACCTAAAGAAAAATACAAATTCTTATGTAGTTTCTTCAGGGTATTGTGCCCTATTCCTCAGTAAGCCACCAGCCCACTCAATCAGGGCCGGCCCGAGCCATTTTGGCGCCCCATGCGCTCGGCGCCGCCCCCGAGGCGCATGGTCCCACCTCCGGGCCCACAGTGTATGCGCAGGCCCACCCCCAGGGCACATGGGCAGACACACAGCGCATGTGCTGCCCAGTTGGCCCAGCCACCACCGATGGCGCGCAGCCCAGGACCACCTAGGGCAGGCTGCACCTGGTCGTGCAGGGCCCTGCAGCCGCATGGGGAAGGGTGCTGCTGGCTGGTGCTATGGGGGTTAACGTGGCCCCCGTCCCGGGTGGCCACTGCAGCCCGCCAGGAGCTGGGCGCCCCCCGGCTAGCCCACCCCTTAGTCCAGCCCTGCTCTCAATTTCTGGGTATCCCTAATCCCCAATATCCCTTTCACTGTTGGGTTATTTGGTTGTAGATTGCTCCTTTCTAAGGCCTTGTCTACATTACACAGTTTTATCAATAAAAGTCAGCTTCCATCAACAAAACAACAGAGGTGGACACACTTCCTGCCAATGTAACTCCCCTGCTATTTTGACATAATAAAACCATCTCAGCAAGCTGCGTTGAGCTTTTTGTGATATAGTTAGAGTGATATAGCATCACTGTAGAGAATTCACTGAGTTGTTGCCCTAGTTAGCCTACAGGAGGTGTCCTACAATACCCATAGAAGAGAAAGCACACCACAGCCGCGTTTCTGAGTGGTGTGAGGGGCTGCGGGACAATCAGGGGAGTCTGCCTGGGGCTCCCCACTGCCTCTGCGTGCTAGATTCGGCAGCTTTGTGGGCTGGATTTGGCCCATGGGCTGGAATTTGCCCAGGCCGATTCTAATGTATTTAATATGAATATTAATTTTGTAACACTCTAGTTTCTTAATCAGAAATGTTTAAATATATTAACACTATTACTTTTAAATATATTTTTATATTTAAATAAATACAGTAATGCTATTTCATCAACCAAATTTGTAATCTCATAAAAATTAAGTTATTCAATAGGATCTATTTTCCATAAATTTCTGTTGTTTGGCATTAATTATATTACCTTCCTTTAATTCTTTATTAATCAAGTTCTCTATCAGCTGTTTCATTATTTTGCTTGGGGTCAGTGTCAGGTTGATAAGCCTATAATTACCTTGGTCATCCTGTTTACTTTTTAAAAATACTGGCACAACCTTAGCTTTCTTTCCGTCTTCTGGAACTTCCCCAGAGTTCCAAGGCTAATTGAAAAACAACATTAACAGCCCAGAGAACTTCTTGGCCAGTTCTTTTAAAATTTTGTGAATGTAATATCTAGCTTTAGTGGCTTCTGTTTAACATTATTGAGTTTCTCTTAGGATGTAAAATATATAATTGTCATTGTCATTCGACTTTATCACCTATTTTTCCCAAATGCAAACCAGAAATATTTATTGAACTCCTCTGTCTTTTCTGCATTACTGTTGACCGTTCTACTATTTGCATGATAGATCAGTCCCATTTTTAGGATTCTTTTAATACCCTTTAAAAACCCTCTTTATTGATCTTAACTCTGCTGTCCATATATTTCTCTTTATGTCCCTTTGCTTCCCTTATCAATTTTTACTTCAGATTTATGATCATTACAATCAGTTTCTCCTTTCTTACATTTGTTATAAATGTATATATTGACTTTCACTTCCCCTATAAAACAGACTGCTTTTTAGCCAGTGATTGTCTTTTAGAAATTTTTCCTCCAGTAACATTTATTCAATTTTTCATATATTCAATTTAAAAAATGCTTCTGATATCATACATGAGTTCCCTAGTTCTCTGGTGATAAATGACACATCAAGATTTTTTAGTTCTATCCTGAACAATCTCTGGACAGAGAAATTTCTTCAAGAGTAGAGTGATACTCTTAAGTGTCTGTATATTATACAAGGTAACCTGTAAAAATACTTTAATTTATAATGGACATAATTTAAAAATTAACATGTTACTTTCCTGAGAAGTGCAGTTTGCAGTGTTATTTCCCATGCTATGTATCGGAAATACTATACATACATTCTAGTAAAATCAAATACTGATATGTGAAAACTTATTTTTAAAGGTACCATGTACTTAAAATTTTTCTTCTTTTATTTTGTACATCATTTTATGCATATTACAAATACAAGAATAGCCTTGTCTAGAGCTGAGCTATATGCATTCTTATGCACATTTGATTGCAAGAACAGTGTGGCTCTCATCCATGAGCTTCTACCCCAATACAAATAGTAAATATAAGCTACTTTTGGAAGGAGATGTGTTGGTTTATTTATATCTCTTGTGATGCTGTCTGCTGTGCAGTGTTTTGTATGTAGAAAACAGGAGAAAGAATGTGTAGAATAAATACTAAAATATCAGAATATCAGACTACAGCCTTAAGCTTAGGATATTTTAGTTCTCTGGGTTAGATTTTTTTCCAATTCAAATCTAGATTTAAAAATTCCTTGTTCAAGTTTTTTTAGTTTCACAGGCTTAAAGTTGTTTTTGTTTGAAACATCAACTATCCTAAACCTCTCTTTGGCCTCTTATGTTTTGTCTAGCTGGTACAATGTTGCAATTGTACTTTAGTAGATAGATGTAAAAACTATTTCTTAGAAAATCAATACATGAAGACAAAATATTTTGATAAAGATTCTTTTGGAAGTAAAAATTAATTTACTTGAAAATTAAAATGCACTTAAAGATTTGAAATCTTTATGAAACTAGGAAACCCTTCTCAATTTTATATGTTTATGGGAAAAGTTGATGCTGAGAAGAACAAAAGGAAATTCAATACGTGGGAGATTGAAAACATCACTTGGAATCCAACTTGCTTTCCAGATCAAGTTTAAGCATATTTCTTCCTGGAGATTGGATACCATTCAGGTCATTTCCTGAGGCTGTCAAACTCATTATAAATATGGCAGTAAAAGGATCTTTGGTGCACAAATGCCAAGACTACATTTTATTTTAATGTAAACATTTACTAAGTCTGCTTACCTAGCATTCCCACAAGTCCACCCTCTGACGACTGGTTATCAGGTTACTTTTCTGTACATGTTACTCAGTTGTAATGATGACAGTTTCATCGAACTGCTTTAGGCACTCTCTATCAGGGGTATTGGTAGTGTGGCTTATTACTTGTGCAGTGAGATAGAGCAGCGCAATATATGTAAGTAAAGGCAGAAATGATAAATCAAATGCCATGAACCATTCTTTATGGCATATAGAATTTTTTTGGTGGGTATGGGAATGAAGACATTGTTTGTAGTAATAACAAGTTGGTATGTAACCTTCCTTTTTATTAAACGAAATTAATAATAAACATCACTAATTTAAAATGAGAAATCCTGTACTAGCATAATTATGTGTTATTGACATAAGTTAACTTGTTGTAATTTTATCAACAAAGGTATTCAAAATTTTCCTTGCACTAAAAGCTGGAAACAATTATGTAATGGACTCTGATTTTAAAAATCAATATAGAAACCTTCCTAATTAGTCTTCCTATAAATGTAGGAATTTCCATGGAAGAAGAGTGTAGCAAAGCTTATAGAATAGAGAATAACAGAAACCATGTAGCAAAGTGATTTGGAATCTATTTCCTACAGCTGTAACTTTTAAATATAATAGCTAAAATGCTTTCCTTATTTTCTAGCACCTTTTTCTTAATTCATGTCATGACAAGCTGTCTCAAGGCATGTCTTCGCTGTGGACTGGATCGATGGACAGTGGTCACTACAGCAGGGGTGTGTATCAATTTATAGCATCTAATATAAACACCATAAATGGACTCCCAAGCACTTTACCATTGGCTCTGGTACTCTACCAAAACAAGAACAGTAAGCAGAGTTCATGGGAGAGCAGCAGCTGCCAATTTACCACTAAAAAGATAGCATGGTAAGCAGAAATAAGTACTCTGATTTCAGCTACTTTATTCGCATAGCTGAAGTTGCATAACTTAGGTCTATATAACGGTAATATAGACAAGGCTTCATTTTAGAATTTGACCCACCCTCTCCTAGCATACAGATTTTTCTCACTTTTCTCTAGAGGCTATTGCTTCTTGCAGTAGCATCCATTGTCAGCAGGTTTGTGAAATGTCACAGCAGTAGCTTAAGGTACTGTAATGCTGATTGTACTCCATCCAGTAAATATAGTCTAACTAGAATGTAGAAATATAATAAAGATAAAAATTAACATGAAACATTAAAATGTTGATAATCCTTTCTAATATAAGTAAGAAGGGTGATAATGCCTTAGTTTTAGCATAGTTACTGTGTTGGTAGTCTTACTACTCTAAGGGTACGTCTAGACTACAGGCTTCTGTCGACAGAAGTTTTGTCGACAGATACTGTCGATAAAACTTCTGTCGACAAAGCGCGTCCAGAGTACATTGAGTTCTGTCGACAAAGCAAGCTGCTTTTGTCGACATTGTCCTTTGCGTCCAGACTACCGTTTCCATTCAATAACACCTTCTGTCGACAGAAACTCTGTCAACAGAAGGTGTTATTCCTCGTAAAATGAGGTTTACATACGTCGACAAAACTGCTGAGTTCTGTCGACGTTATGTCGACAGAACTCAGCGGTAGTGTGGACGCAGGTATAGTTTTGTCGACAAAAGTCCACTTTTGTCGACAAAACTCTGTAGTCTAGACACACCCTAAATGACTAACTCATTTTCACTTACTAAAATGTAATAACTACAAGATGAGGAATGTGAGATGGTTAATCCTTGAGCTCTAGTGCCTTTGCTTAGCTGACATGAATAATAATAATTTAACAGCCTGGATAGACTGAATCCCCAGAAATTTTGTCAGGAGTCTTTTCTTTTCTCTATGAGGCTGGAGAACCAATGGGATGCAAAACAAAAGAACAACAAAAGAAGGCAATAAATGTGATAAAATTATTTTGAGCAAATGGAAAGGTTTAAAAACCTTGCTTTTAATGTAAAGCTATTTTTTTGAAAAAAAATTAATGTTAAAAGCAATATTTTCAGTAATTCCAATTTATCTTTTATATTAATACACAAAGCAACCCAGAAATTGCTAGTCTCTGTGTTATGGGCAACACTAGGAAATCATGTTTTGAGTCTGAGTGAATGATCCAATTCTTATATGGAACAGTTGCAATATTACTGCTGTTACCTTACTTAGAATTGTTCAGTGTACTGACTAAAATGGACGAAGCCTTCCAACTTTCTCCAAGTGACAGTTGTGAAGGAGCAGCTGATGAGTAGCACAGGATTCATTTTTAGGCTATGTCTACACTATAAAGAAAAGTCAGAAAAAGATCTGCAATTTGCGTATCTTTTCCTGCTTTTCTTCTGAAAGAGGCTTTTCTGACATTTGGCCCACCTGCATGGAGTCATGAAATGAGGTTTACACGGATGCTGACAAAAGGCATCTGCTTTTCTGACATTTTTTTTGGAAAAGCGGAGGTATTCCTTGAACATGGCAGAACTTTTCCGGGATACAGTATCCTGGAAAAGCTCTGTAGTCTAGACATACCTTTTGTGCTGAGGCAGTTGGCTTCATTTAGGCCTTTTTTTTACAGTTTAATAATTGAATTTAAGCGAGGGTCATTTGCTTTAGATCCATATGTTCTGCTAAATACCCTACCGTGTTCCTCCCTAAAATAACAGGCTTCTAGAAAGGAATCAGATTAGCAAATGTTTAAAGGAGGCATTTTTAGCAGATCATTGGTTGTGAAGTGGTAAATTGAGAGGCCTTATATATGGGCTTGCCGGAGACCTGATTAATGAGTGCTTGGCTCTAGGAGTGCTAATGCCTTGAAAATTACATCACTCACCCCACCCTACTCCCACCATTCAGTTAAGGCCAGGTGGGGATGTTTATATGAACAGCAGCCAGAGTGCAGTCTTACTCCTTGCAGCTAGCCATAGCAAATTATAGTACGGTCTCATAGCTCCATGTTAGTTATAAGCTGCTATATTGTAGCAATCCTAATGAATGAAATTCTGCTAAATTCATTCTCACTAACAGCTCCTGTGACTTTCTACAGTCATGTCTACATTGGTATAGCTACATCACTCGAGGATGTTATAACAAACAAAAGGAATTTTTTCTTCATAGAGTGCACAATCAACCTGTGGAACTCCTTGCTAGAGGATGTAATGAAGACCAGGAATTTAACTGGGTTCAGAAAACAACTAGATAAATTGATGGCTATTAGCCTGGATGGGTAGGAATGGTGTTCGTACCTTCTGTTTGTCAGAGGCTGTAAATGGATGACATGAGGGGGATCATGTGATGATTACCTGTTCTGTTCACTCCGTCTGGGGCATCTGGCATTGGTCAATGTTGAAAGACAAGATACTGGGCTAGATGGAACTTTGGTCTGACTCAGTATGGCCATTCTTCTGTTCTTAAAAGCCAACACACCTGAGCAACGGTTAGGTTAAGTATAACTCTGGTGTAGACTGCACTGTATTCACAGGAGAACTTCTCCTGATGATGTGACTACTGCCTCTTGTCTTCAGTGAAGCACTACAGAGGTGCAACTGCACTATTTTAAATGGAACCCTGCCTTAAATATTTTATGCAAGTGAGATGTTATCAATAAAATGGAATGTCACAGAGATGGAAGTGATCCAGACCCATTAGTTCATCCACTTTGTCTCTTGCTAAAGCAAATTTGTTCCCTGCAGCATATTTTTGAGAGTATGATTCAGCCTGAGAGCAAGGTTTTTACTCCTATATTTTTAGTGGAGAAGAGTCCCAAACAGTACCCACGCTTTTCATAAACATGTAAGTAATTAAGTTTCATTGGCCAAAAAAAAAAAGTCAAAAAGTAGATCTTAAAGTCTCATCAATAGTCATAGAAGTTACATTTTAAATTTACACACACGTTTCTCATTAGAAGCACTTCTGTGCTCTTCTAGTTATGTTATAGAAACAATAACGTGACTTCTTTGACTTCTCTGCTCATAATTAAACAGAGCAGCTAGAATTTGTTATTTTATGGAGTCATTTTAAAACTGAGCAAAAAAGGTCATTTTTAATATAAATTACTCCTTTTTTTTTGTTTAAAACTTACACAACAAATAGTCTTGCAGTACCTTAGAGACTGACAAAACATATAGATGGTATCATGAGCTTTTGTGAGCACAACCCACTTCTTCAGATTAACAGAGTTATTAAAGTTCCAGTTCCTAATTTTTTTTGTTTTGTTTAATTTTTGTTTGATATGGTACTTTACTTACTGCCAACATACTTATTTCTCATTAAATACATTAGGACCACTTTCAGAATTCTAAAATGGGAGCCCATATGTGTGCAAATAATCGGTTAAGAAATACAGGTACCAGGAAATATTGTGGCAGGAACTATTAATATAAAAGTTATGAAGAGATACAGAAAAGGGGTAAAATATTGTAAAAACATTGTCTTTAGTGGACAGGTTGTATATTTTGTCAGCTGCCAACTCAAGCTAAGGCTGGTTTAACAAAGAGAAAAATCTCAGCTCCTTTATCGTCTTTTGCAGTTGTTTTCTCCTATGTCAGTGTGTGTAAATAAACACAGATGGATACTAGTCTCATACCATCACTCTGCATGCAGTGAAGGAATAAAACTCAATCTTCAAGTTTTATTCAGAAGAAGTTTTTAGGTGATTTCCTTATTACTAAAAGTATGTAGTCAAATATGTTATCCTCCTGGCTCTGTGCATATGGTTCCTATTGACTTTCCAGTGGGGAAAAAAAATGTAATCTGTAATTGTGATGGTTCTTGGGGAACCTAAGACTGTGAGTCACTTTGCTGCCCCATGCCTCCATTGAGAGTCAGCCTTCTCTTGTGGTAGCTGAATGGCAGCTCCCTAACATCACCAAGCTTTCAGCCACTCGGTCACTATGAGAGCTAAGCCAGGCCTGATTTCATCTTCCAAGTTAACAATACGTGCACCGTTAGCTGATTTCCTTCAAATCATTAATCTGTGATATTCAGCCTCTGACACTGGCTCATCTTGGACATTCCAGGTCTTCTTTACCCTCTGCACACCCGTTTACCAATTGTACCTTGAACCACCACTCCCGTTAGACAAACAGTGCTTGTGAGCACTTATTAAACAATAGTGCGTTTATTTAAAGAATAAAGATTCAGCTATGTCCTCTCTCTTCCTTTTGATGTTCAGACTTTTTAGAGTTCTGGTCTCTGCAATCATAAAGGTTAGAAATGTTTTTAACCTGAATTTTGAGATTCTCACATGGTTACATGACTCCAGAAATGTGGGCTTTTAGAAGAACACCAAGTTCTTATAATAAAATTGCAAAAGTTGGCAACCACCTCCTATTGATGTCAGTTGCAGTTGAAGTTGCATAGTGTTTTGCAGATCATGCTTGTAGAATCACCTGAATGTTTTTCATTTTTTATGTTACTTGTGTTAATAAGAACAAAGATACATTCACTGGGAGCAATGCAGTTTAATTTGTACAATAGGACTTTGCTTTATGTGGCAGGTGATGTTGTAATCATAGATCTTTAAGAGATGGTACCACATCTGTCCCTTCAGGAGCAACATTAGTTTGACTATACAATACTTGATTAAAAACATGTTACCAAGTAGTTAGGCACAGGCATTTTCATGAGTTACCTTTGTGAACTGAATGTATTGTGAAGTCTTGGACATGCAATGTGTTTAATGATAAGGTGATCTTTTCAATGGTTTTCGAAACATCTATCCTTAAAACTGGACTGTTAAGTTTTTACATATGTGTGTTTCCATTCATGTT